AAACTGAAAAGCTTCTGTAAAGCACTGTCGTCAAAACAAAACTACTGCCTACAGATTGGGAAAGAATCTTCACCAACCCTTTTTCTGACAGAGGGCTATTATCCAGTATATATAAAGAACTAAAAAAGCTGAAAAGCAACAAACCCAGTAATCCAATTATAAAATTGGGAACAGAGCTAAACAGAGAATTCTCGACAGAGGAATATCGAATGGCAGAGAAGCACTTAAAGAAATGCTCAACCTCATTAGCCATTAGGGAAATGCAAATCAAAACGACCCTGAGATTTCACCTTACACCCATCAGAATGGCTAATATCAAAAACTCAAGAGACAACACATGCTGGAGAGGTTGTGGAGAAAGGCGAACCTTCCTCCATTGCTGGTGGGAATGTAAACTGGTACAACCACTTTGGAAATCAATCTGGTGCTTTCTCAGACAAATAGGAATAGTGCTTCCTCAAGACCCAGCAATACCACTGCTAGGTATATACCCAAAATTTGCTCAAGTACACAACAAGGACATTTGCTCAACCATATTTGTAGCAGCTTTATTTGTAATAGCCAGAACCTGTAAACAACCCAGATGTCCCTCAACGGAGGAATGGATACAAATATTGTGGTATTTTTACACAATGGAATACTACTCAGCAATCAAAAAGGAGGAAATCATGAAATTTGCAGGCAAATAATGGGATCTAGAAAAGATCATCCTGAGTGAAGTATCCCAGAAGGAGAAACACAAACATGGTATATACTCGCTAATATAGACCTACAAGATATGATAAACATAATGAAATCTATACACCTAAAGAAGATAAACAAGAAAGAGGACACATGATAAGATGATCAATCCTCACTTAGAAAGACAAATGAGATGTGCATTGGACATATGACAGGAGTCTACCACAGAAGGCATCTGAAAGACTCTATCTAGCAGTGGTTCAAAGCAGACACTAAGACACATAACCAAACCTTCTGCAGAGTGCAGGGAATCATATGAAAGAAGGGGGAGTTAGTATGACGTGGAAAGGATAGGCGCTCACAAGACCAAATATATCTGGGCACAGGGGTCTTTTCTGAGACTGACACTCCACCAAGGATTATAATAGGTTATGGATATAACCTAGAACCTCTGCTCTGATGTAGCCCATGGTAGCTCAGTAACCAATTGGTTTCCCATAATAAGGGGAACAGGGACTATTTTTGTCAGGAACTCAATGTCAGGCTCTTTGACCTCCCCACCCCCCAAGGGAGAAGCAGTCCTGCTAGGCCACAGAGGAGGACTTTGCAACCAGTCCTGAAGATACCTGATAAAACAGGTTCAAATGAAAGTGGAGGAGGTCCTCCCCAATCAGTGGACTTGGAAAGAGGCAGGGAGGAAACAAGGGAGGGAGGGTGGGATTGGAAGGGAATAAGGGACCAGGATACAGCTGGGATATGGAGTTAATAAAATGTAACTAAGAATTAAAAAAAATTTAAATGAAAAAAAATTTCGTTGTGTAGAATATACCACAATTTCTGTATCCATTCCTCAACTGAGGAGCATCTGGGTTGTTTTCATCTTCTGGCTATTACAAATAAAGCTGCTAAAAACATGGTTGAGTAAATGTCCTTGCTGTGTACTTGAGCATCTTTTGGATATATGCCTAGGAGTGGAATAGCTGGATCTGAGGAAGCGCTATTCCTAATTGTCTGAAAGAGTGCCAGACTAATTTTCAAAGTGGTTGTACAAGTTTACATTCCCACCAGCAGTGAAGGAGGGTTCTCTTTTCTCCACATCCTTCCAGCATGTGTTGTCACTTGAGTTTTTGATCTTAGCCATTCTGATGGGTGTAAGGTGAAATCTCTGGTTCGTTTTGATTTGCATTTCCTTGATGATGAAGTGTTTTTTTAAGTGTTTCTCTGCCATTCAGTATTAAAAGCACTCTACCAATTCAATGCAATTCCCATCGAATTACCAACACAATTCTTTACAGACCTGGAAAGAAAATTTCTCAACTTCATATGGAATAACAAGAAATCCAGAATTGCTAAAACAATGTTCTACAATAAAAGATCTTGTGGAAGTATCTCCATCCCTGATCTCAAACTGTACTATAGAGCAACAGTAATAAAAACTGCATGGTACTGGCATGGAAACAGAATGGTGAATCAATGGAATCAAATAGAAGAACCTGATATAAACCCACACACTTATGGAAAACTGATTGTTGACAAAGATGTAGAAAAATGCAAATAGATCCATACTTATCACCCTACACAAAACTATCATCCAAGTGGATCTAAGATCTCAATATAAAAACAGACACACTAAACTCGTTAGAAAAAAAATTTGGGGAAAGCCTTGAACTCATTGGCACAGGACACAATCTCCTGAACAGAATACCAACAGCACAGGCTCTAAGAGCAAGAATCAATAAATGGAACCTCATGAAACTGAAAAGCTTCTGTAAAGCAAAGGACACTGTCTTCAGAAAAAAATGACTGCCTACAGATTGGAAAAGGTTCTTCACCAACCCTATATCTGACAGAGGGCTAATCCAGAATATATAAAGAACTCAAGAGGTTAAACACTAACAAATCAATTGATCCAATTAAAAAATGGGGTTCAGTGCTAAAGAATTCTCAATAGAGGAATATCAAATGGTACATCAGCCAATCTTAAGCAGGGAAGAAAACAACTGAAAATAGAAAAATGATGAAGTTGTAATTGAAAGAGGGGATTATGTCCCAGCCCCAGCAAGCAGCAGAACTTGACAACCTTGGCCAGGTGGTTCTGCCTTTAGAGTGAAGGATAGAAGAAAGTAGCTATGGAATCTCTCTGGCTAAGGAAAGTCACTGAGTCCAGGCATGTGCCAATGTCATCCCTGCAATGAGGCCTGGAAAGGCTGTTATGTGAAGATATAAAGGTGAAGCCTGAATTGCTCTGAAGACCCCAAATATTGGAGATGACAGATCTGTGCAATACCTGCTGAGGAAAGCTGCTTACAGGGGTAGAGCAGCATAAGAGAAAGAAGTGGTTTGCATTCAACAAAGCTGGAAGGAGCTGGAAATCTGAAGAGCACTTTGACATTATACATGGAGATTCAGAGTTCGGAATTTGCCCAGCTGATTTTAAGTCTTGCTTTGGTCTAACATTTCCTCATATGTTCCCTTTCTTCCTTTTTTGAATGTTGATGCATATTTTGTGCCATTATATGTTGGAAATATAATATCTACTCTTTGATTTTTATTTTATAGGGGGTTATAGTTAAGGGAATGTCAGGAATCTCAAACAGACTTTGGACTGTTTAACATTGTTGAGACTGTGATAGACTATGGGTACTTGTAATGTTGGACTTAATGCATGTTTTGCATTATGATATGACTACAAGCCTATGGGCTCCAGGAAATGGAATATAATGGTTTGAAAAAAAAAATGGCCCACATAAGATCATACTGAATGGCATTATTAGGAGGCCTTGTTGGAGTAGGTATTGTCTTGTTGAAGGAAGTCTGTCAGTGGGGCCAGGTTTGAGTTCTCAGATGCTCAAGGCAGGCCCAGTCTGGCATTCTCTCCCTGCTGTCTGCCAATCTAGATGTAGAACTCAATTACCTCTCCAGTACCATGTCTGCCTATGTGCAGTTGTGCTTCCCACCATGAAGATAATAGAATAAATATCTGAGATGTAAGCCAGGCTTAACTAAATGCCTTTGATTTTAAGCATTGACATGGTCATAACATCTTTCACAGCAACAGAAACCCTAAGACACAGTTTGTCTCTAGATTTGTAGAGCTCAGGACAAATAGTGAACATCAGAGTCCAGAAAACTATCCTTTAGAAGAGTACCATACAATTCTTGTGACTAGTTTTGTCCTCATTACGTTAGCCCATGTTTTGAAATCTGAGCCAAGACAACCATTTTGTTGACAGTTTTTACTTCTTTGTTTTGCTGACTTTACACCTAAATATTTTTCTTTGTTCCAACAACTTCTTGTCAGGACAGGGACATTTTCTAGGGGTAAGACGTGATTGTGGACTTACAGTTTTTGGATGAAATGGACTAAAGTCTAAACCTTAAAGAAGTGATTCCTTAGGGGGCATTTTGTGTACACCATGTAGAACTGGATTATGAGCTACAGATATGTATTTTTTCATGACTGGGTTTAAATGTATGTAAATTTAAAATAGAATTAAAAATTGGTATAATATCTATAACATTTAAAGGTAGACTGAATTAAAGTTATGAATTATTTAATACACTGTCCCCGTATGTGTCATTCCAAAGTGGAATTGTAGAGTTTACATTTTTTATAAATATTAAAATAGAGTAAGGAACACTAGTTGCTCAAAAATTTTAGCTTAATTCTTACCTATAAAATAATATTTTCAACACAGTCACCCCAGACAGGCAAGCAAGTATGCTACTTGCAAATTTTCACCTCTTTGTTTTGATCCCCCAAATCAGATCCCTCTGTCTAATCCACAGCTCTGCCACAGAACACCTGCTGCGGCCTCCCTTTTACTCCATCCGTGAGCACCTGAGAGACACGCCTGGTGGAAGATGTGGAGAAAGGGGAACCCTCCTCCATTGCTATTGGGACTGTAAACTTGTACAACCACTTTGGAAGTAAATCTGGCACTTTCTCAGGCAATTAGGAATTGTGCTACCGCAAGATCCAGCTATACCACTCCTAGGCACATATCCAAAATATGTGCAAGAATACAACAAGGACATTTGTTCAGCCACATTCATAGTAGCCTTACTCATAATAGCAAGAATCTGTACACAGCCCAGATATCCATCAACTGAGGCCTGGATACAGAAATTGTGGTACACTTACACAATGGAATACTACTCAGCAATTAAAAACAAGGAAATCATGAAATTTGCAGGCAAATGGTTAGAACTAGTAAAGATTATCCTGAGTAAGGTATAAATAACTAGAAAGACACATATGGAATATACTCACTTCTAAGTGGATATTATTAATATAATATAAAAATTATTACTCTTACCATAAATGCACAAGTTTTGGCAACAGAATCCACGGCCTTTACTTTCCAAATTTCTTCAATGTTGTCAGGAATAGGTGCATAAATATAAGATAAAACAGTAACACAAAGCAGCACCAAACAGAGAATTTTGACTTCCATAGTATTCCTGGCTCTTCACAGTGCAGAAACTAAAATATTTTCATAAATATTGAATAATAAGTCACAGGATGAGCGCAGAATAGGAGCCCTCTCGGGTGATGCAACTGTTCTCACAGGTGAAGCTGATTCTTAATACATACACTGCAGTGTCAGTTCTAAATTGTTTTGCAAAAGCACAACTCTGAAGCAGATATTAAAATTCATCTGATCAGATACCTGTTATTAACATGCAAATAAAATTCCATGCAGTGTCTCTTCATTCTGTGGTGCTAACATCAACACTAAATAGTTTTAGGAAATCCAGGCACAAATGCAAGCATTGGATAATCTTTGAAGTAATCTTTGTAGCTACAATATTTTGTAACAGGTTTATAAAAATGTGACTTGATATTCATTCAAAATATATGTTAACATTATTACTAAGGATTGTTGCCTATGTTAACAAACCTGCCTGATAAAGACCAAGAAGGAAAGAAATGGGGTGTAGAGACTTGTTCAAGTTTAATCATTCACCATGCAAGAATATTAGGCCTGAACCAGTATTACCAGAAAGTTTAGCACATATACTTTAGCAAACATTCCAGTTTTTAGATTTAATGATATGATGACTTAAATTTATGAGTCAACAGGCTTGTGTTATCTGCCCAATGTTAATAAAATATTGTTTCTTGACTGTGCCTCTAAAAGTGTTTCCAGGGGAGAATGATGTTTGAGTTGGTAGCTTGGCTCAAAGATACGGTTGGATATCATCAGAGTCCTTTAAAGTGGGAATAGAAGAAAATTGTAAATGAAGCACCATTTCACTCTTTTTCCTCTCCTTTTGATTATAACCTGTGATAACTCATATTAATGTTAATGTGCTTCCACCTTCTGTGTTTGTCCTGGGAGAGTCATCTTTAATCCACTCAGTATCTTTCCACTCAGTTCCTGTTTTTATGTTCTATCACCCTGAAATTCTCATCCTCCATATTTTGTTGGTTTCAAACCTGTAAACCTCTTACTATAATTATTGAGTCCCTGTGAGTAACATTATTTCCTCTGAGTTAAGCAATGTCACCCAATCTCAGGAACGCTGCCTAGATTCACCTGTAAGCTTGAACTTGAAAAGATGATTAGTTCCTGTGTGTGGGTTAATTATTAATGAGATTAATTCCCTCATAAATAAGACTTCAGGAGTTGATGAGGTAACTCAGTCAATAAAGTACTTGTGGTGCAAACAGGAAGACTCAAGTTTGAATTCTAGCACCAGTATAGAAAGCCAGGCCTGATGGAAATGCTTGTAATCCTGGACAAGAAGATTTCTAAGGAGTTCACTGCCCATCCAAACAGTAAATTCTAGGGCAAGTGGCTAAAACAAGGTTGCACCCAAGGAGCAACATAGAAGGTTAAACCCAGATCTTTACAAGGATGTGTTATATTTATGTGTGTGTGTGTGTGTGTGTGTGTGTGTGTGCATTGACTTTTAATATCTAACACCGTTTAATGCTTATGTTGAAATGAGATCTCTTTATGGAAAGAATGATAGGTAAAGACAGAAGATGGAAGGAGGAAACTAGCAGGTACAAGTAACATAGTACAGGAAATAAGAAAGTGGGGAGGGAAATACAGAAGAAGTAGGGGTGAGGGTGAAATAACAATAAGGATGTCTGAAAAGGCCATAAAGAATCATGCTCTTAATTATTTACCTAAAATATAGGGTACATGTAATTCGGGATATAAATATAAATATAAAAATTTAATGACCATTTCTCCTCTGAGCTGATAATGATCCTTTCAAGAGTCAAAGACTATATACGAAAGTCCCAACATAAGACATGGGTGCTGCTGTTGCTATAAAAAAATGAAATCCCAACAGCTGTATTTTACCATTGGAGACACAGGAGGCAGATGCTGGGGTGAAAACCTACTAACTCAGAGAGGCAGAAAAATCACCCAGTTGATCTTCCTACTCAGCTCACATACTAGAAGGAAAGGCCAAAAGCTAAAACCTAAAAGCTTCCTGGCTCAGCTGACATCCCAGGAGGAAAAAGCAACAAGAGCCAGAGAGACCTGTGACCAGGTTTTTTTGGTTCTGTTGCTCTCCTTGTGGAGCTCCTGTCCTCTCCAGGTCTATCTTCATCTTCTTTCATAAGATTACCTGTACTCTGCCAAAAAATTGGCTATGATCCTCAGTAGCTACTTTGATACCTTGATGGGTAGAGTAATCAGAGGCCCTCTGTGGTAGGCTCCTGTCCTATTCCCTGTTTTCTCCCTCTTCCAATGTCCATTGCATTTGCCTTTCTGAGTGAGGACTGATCATCTCAACCAGTGTCCTCTTTCTTGATTAGCTTACTTAGATTACAGATTTTAGTATGTTTATCCTATATTATATTTCTAATAGCCACTTATAAGTGAGTATATACCATGTGTGTCTTCCTGCTTCTGGAATACCTCACTCAAGATGATCTTCTCTAGTTCCCACCATTTGCATGCAAATTTTATGATTTCTGTGTTTTTAATTGCTGAGTAGTATTCCATTGTGTAAAAGTACCACAATTTCTGTATCCATTCCTCCACTGAGGGAGATTGTTCCTATATTCTGTCAATTTTGAATGAAACTGCTATAAACATGGCTGAGCAATGTCCTTTGAATATTTGTGTTAGCTCTTCTTTGAAGGTCTGGTAGAATTCTGCACTAAAACCATCTGGGCCTGGCCTTTTTGGGAGAGCAAGAGTTTTGATGACTGCTTGTATTTCTTTGGGAATATAAGACTATTTAATATATTTACCTGGTCTAGATTTAATTTTGGTAAATGGAATCTATCAAGAAAATTGTCTAATTCACTCAGATTTCCAAATTTTGTGCCATATAGGCTTTTGTAGTAAAACCTTTTGATTGTTCGGATTTCCTCAATGTCTACTGTTATGTCCATATTTTGTTTCTGATTTTGCTGATTTGGATAGTTTCTCTCTACCTTTTAGTTAGTTTGGCTAAGGGTTTGTCTATTTTCTTGCTCTTCTCAAAGAACCAGTTCTTAGTCTCATTGACTCTTTGAACTGCTTCCTTTGTTTCTAATTCACTGATTTCAGCTCTGAGTTTGATTACTTACAATTGTCTACTCCTCTTGGGTATGTCTGCTTCTCCCCCCTCCCCCCCCCAAGAGCTTTTCTGTGTGCCATTAAGTGCTTGTATTTTAGGAAATCTCTAATTTGTTGTTTCATTTCTTTGCTGATCAAGGTGTCATTGAGTAGAGAGTCGCTTATTTTCCGTGTGTGTAAGCTTATTGTAATTTCAGTTGTTGTTGAGGTCTAGTTTTAGGCCATGGTAGTCTGATAGGATACAGGGTTTATTTTGATCTTCTTGTATCTGCTGAGGCTTGGTTGTGACTGACTACACTGTCAATATTTGAGAGGGTTCCATAAGTTGATAAAAAGACTCTTTTGAGTTTGGGTTAACTGTTCTGTAGACATCTATTTAGTCTATTTGATTTAGGACCTCTGTAAGTGCCATTATTTCTTTATTTAGTTTCTGTATAAACGATTGGTCCCTTGGCGAGAGTGAGTGTTGAAGTCTCCCACTATTAATGTATTGTGATCAATGTGTGATTTCAGGTTTAGTACTGTTTCTTTTACAAATGCAGGTAATCTTGTATTAGGGGAATAGATGTTCAGGGTTTTGTTGTCCTCCTGGTAGATTTTTCCTTTAATGAGCATTAAGTCCCCCTCCTCATCTTTTTTTTTTTTTTTGATTAATTTTGGTTGAAAGTCTTTTTTATTAGATATTAGGATAGCCATCCCAGCTTATTTTCTGGTTCCTTTTGCTTGAAAAACATTTTTCCAGCCCTTTACTCTGAGGTAGTGTTTATCTTTGTTTTAGAGGTGTGTTTCTTGGATGCGCAGAAATTTGAATCCTGTTTCAGCAACCTTTCAGTTAGTCTGTGTCTTTTTATTGGAGAGTTGAGTCCATTGATGTTGCTAGAGAGTAGTGACCAATATCTGTTATTGACTTTTATTGTGGAGTTGATGCCTTACCATTAACTGTTTTCCTTTAATTTTTTTGTTGTGAAATAATTTATATCCAGTGTTTTTTGGATGTAGTTGATTTTGTTGGATTGGAGTTTTCCTTTTAGTATCTTCTGTAGGGCTGGGTTACTGTGTTGATACTGTTTAAGTTGAGTTTTGTCATGGAATGTTTTTTTTTTTTTTCTCCATCTATGTCTATTGAAAGCTTTGCTGGTTATAGGAGTCTGGGTTGGCATCTGTTGTGTCTTAGAGTCTGCGTGACCTCTGCCCAGGCCCTTCTGGCTTTCATATTTTCTGTTAAGAAGTCTGGTGTGATTCTGATAGGTCTATCTTTATATGTTACTTGGCCTTTTTTCCCTTGCTGCTTTTAATATTTTTTCTTTGTTCTGCAAATTTAGTGTTTTGACTATTATGTGACTTGAGGAGTTTCATTTCTTGTCTAGTATATTTGGTGTTTTGTAGGCCTCTTGTATGTTTATAGACATCTCATTCACTAAGTTAGGAAATTTTTTTCTATGATTTTCTTGAAAATATTTTCTGGACCTAGAGCCTGGAATCTTCATTTCTGTCTATTCCTAGTATTCTTAGATTTCATTATTTCATGGAGTCCTTGATTTCTTGTATGTTTTGTGCTGTGAACTTTTTCGATTTTACTTTTTCTTTGACAGATGTATCAATTTCTGCAATTGTATCTTCATTGCCTGAGATTCTGTCTTCCATCTCTTGTATTCTGTTGGTGGTGCTTACCTTTGTAGTTCCTAATCTTTTCTCTAAGTTCTCCAGCTTGAAGGGTTTTCTCTGTTTGTGTTTTCTTTATTGATTCTAATTTTGGTTTTATTCTTCCACCATTTCCTTTATCTGTTTGAATGTAGATTCTTGTCTATCCATGATGCCCTCTATTTTTTTATTCAGTTCCTCTGTATGTGCCTCTATTTGTACTCTGTATGTGCCTCTATTTGTTTGTGCCTCTATATTTGCCTATATTTCTTTGAGAGCTT